CCGTGTGTTCTGTGTTCAAACCCCCACGAGACACTGGCCTCTTCTGTTGCATTATCTTCTCTCCTGATGCCCTCTCAGGTCCGGGCAATAATCCCATCACCCTGTAAACTCTTTCTGACATTCCTCTCACTACGATGTCTTCACCCTTCAGGCCGAGGAGTAATGAGAAACTGGAGATATAATGGCCCCAGCATTTATGACCAAAGACACTCTTCCAGAGCCCCCCGGAACATTCTTATGAATTTGGGAACCAATTGTGCTTTCTGAGTTCACAAAGTTTGTTTCATTTGTTGTTCAGGGGCCTAATTTCCAGCATCCCCTGTGGAAGAATCTTCAATTTCTGTAAAGCTTAGAGTCCTGCAGACAACTCGTACATGTCTAGAATAGAGACGTTTAAATAATAGCTACTTTTGTCCCGATATGCTTGGTTTGCTGTGTACTTGTTTTATTTTGCCTGATTTCGCATCTATGTTCTGTCATATTTAATAGATAACAGTTAAATGGTCACAGTCTGAATAGGATAGTGCAGGAATACGCCCTAAAACGTTCTAAATATACTATAAACTTTACTATATGTTTTTACTATGATATATTTCTGTTCAGGCCATATATTGCCCAAAATACAATAATGAATGTAGTCTCATTGGTTCGATCCCCACATTGCTTTGTTATACTTCTCCTATTGTTCCATATTTAGATTTCCTATATTGTTCCTTGCTCCCATCCAGAGTCTCCAGTAATGTGGTTTATAAATTATTGCTTTCTTCAAGAAGACAGACCTAGTTTAATGTCATTGTCGTCCAGGTAAAGTTTGAACCTAAAATCGTAATCCTTCAAAATATTTTGCATCTGATCAGAGTAAACATTTGAGCTAGTATGTGCTTTTTAATAAGGATTTAATGATGGAATTGTGTATCACCATATATGTTAGGGAATAATTTGCTTAGGTATTCAACCTTTGACACAGTTCTTCAGTTTCTGATCTCACTGTCTCCTTTCCTGTGGCATAGGTCTACGGACTTGGGTATTGCTGCTATCTCTCTTAAAGAGGAGCAGCTTGGGCGCATTGTTGTTGCCAGTCTATGACCGAGCACAAGCCGCCATGAGGTAGTTTACTGTTCAGGGACGAAGGTTCCCTGGCCCACATTCTTTTCTATGGACGAGAGCTCTAGTTAGATTCCGGGTCCATAATGTTTATTCTCACTGATAAAGAATGTTGATTATTACACTCCGAGCTAGTTAAAACCTCGAGCTGCAGAAGAGTTCTTCAGAATTGGTTTGGCAACCGCTGTGTCAACTCGTGACACACCACCTGTCTTTTTAATTCTCCGGCCATCAAAGCTCCAGCTCTCCTCGTGTCTCTCTGAGTCCTGACTCTCCATTGCTACAGAAGTTTCCCCCACAATATATATATCTCAATATATGATTTTGTCACTATGCGATTCCATTCAATGCCCATAAATTGTCATGTTAAATTATCACTCAAATGTAATGCATTTAAATCCTTCTCTCCATTTGAATCGATTGTATTACAATGAAAAGACAGATCCTCAGTTGTACACATTGTGGGGGGAAACTTCTGTGTAGCGATGCAGTGGGAGTCACCGACTCAAAAGGAGACACGGGGAGAGCTGGAGCTTTGATGTCAAACACTGATGGTTTATTTAGGAGCTTCGGCGGGGGAATTCACAAAAAAAGTCCAAGAGCTAGAGGTTCTGACTGCATGGTAAAGTTGCCACGTCAATTCCGAATAACTCTACCCCAGACCCATGTGTTTAGCTAGTTCAGAGAGAATAATCAACATGCTGCATAACAAGATAGAATGATCACACCTCTATCAGCTGACGCCAACAGGCAGGAACAGGGAGACAGAACACTGAGAGCACAGCAGCCAAGGTTACAGGTGCCTGAGCTCAGTCAGGACAGTTTGAACTGATACACTGGGTCAAAGTTATGGGCCTTGGAAAATATTTCCCCAACACACATCATCTTATTGTCCATTGTTTCAAATCTCAAGATAGCACTTGTCACACTATCCTTCTCACTTTTGAAGGTATGAAAATCAAACAGGTTCTGGTTGTCTTACCTCCCTCAGTGAGTAACTAATCCCTTGTAATTTAAATGTGCAGTTTGTTCGGTCACATTTTGTGTGTTTCTCTTTGTTTCACTGATACATCTCTGTATTCCCCCCCACTCCTCTCTTAGTGATCCCTCCATCCCTCAGTGGATCAAATCATCAGATTGTTCTGCCTCCACATTATCTATCTTTAGTTTGAGGCTAAAACCCCAATCATCCCTTCTGCATTCACTGTCATGCCTCCCTCAGCGCTCCTCCCATCCCTCATAGGTTCAGATCCCCAGATTACAGCGGCTTCCATTGTCACATCATCTATCTTCACTCTGAGAAACCCAATCATCGGCCTCTTTCTGCATTCCCTGTCGCTCCTCCCCGGGCGATCCTCTCATCCCTCACTCCTAACGGGAACCATTCATCGTCAGAGGGTTTCGAGAGTGCTTAAGAACCGCCAAACGTCGTTAGCGCCTGCTAATGTGTGTGATGCGCTGTGCGGGGAGGCGTGATGGGACGAGGTGCAAAGACGAAATGCCTTGAATTTAGCGTTTACTGTGAGTCGAGTGTTTGTTCTGTAATGCGCATCCACAGCAGCGATCAGTCACATTTAACAAAAGGGAAGAGAACGCTTCCCACGTGTTTCTGCCTTCAACTGCACCGAGAAGAAAATAGATGTTGCACATTGAGCACCTAGGACAGGTTGCTATCCATTTGTCCTCCCCTGAATTTGTGGTGAGTGTAATGAGCTGCATAGAGACAGAGGGGGGGGGGGGAACAAGGTGCCCCTCTCTGCTGGGAACTGCTGAGTTTGAATAGTAGCTCAGAGAGGTGCTGCTAAGATACAACACGTGTTTCAGGGTTTAACATTGTTGTATTATAAATCATTTGTCTTAAGTAGAAAGAGTTGTAACATTTGTATTGACTTGATTTAATGCGATGTTGTTTTTATATTATCGTCTTTATACTGTCTTTATAATTGCAACTCAATTATTTCTAGTCTAGGCCGTTTTACTTTTTTTTTGTATTTTATTACATCAACTAAATGCACATGTTTTTCACTGCTGTGTAGCTTTTATTCTTGTATTCCATAGTTGTCTTAATGTATTTCAACTTTAATTCGAGTTTCCTCTTTGCTTTTTTAATGTAAGATTTAGGTCTACTTAAATGTTATTAGAGCCTTGACGTTTTTTTATTATTTGCCGGGGTTAAACACGTTTTTAGAGTGGTTTGCACCACACTAATATTCCTAACAGACTATACATTACCAAGGTGGGAAACTCTCATAATTCAAACATTAGCCACCTTAGATCAACATAAACATTTACAAGGTACACTGCTCTGTTTGAATGGGTGTGAATGGGTGAATGACATGTAGTATGTAAAGCGCTTTGAGGGGTCTTAAAAAAGACTGGATAAAGCGCTATATAAGTACAGTCCATTTACCATTTACCATTTATTTGAATTGACTATTTAAGAATGTATTTTCCCTTAAATTAGGACAATTAACATCATAGTGAGGTCTTTAATTAGGTGTTCCCCCTTGTTTCTCCATGGGTTTGTATTTTCTGATAGTATTTATCCTTTTCATTTATTTTTGGTGGCAAGAAGGACTCCTCCTCCTCTCCCTCCCTGGCAAGTCCTGCAAAATGTTGTTAAGCAAACAACACTTCTCAAAGAAGATTAATAGCTTACAACTTTCGTTTTTTGCTTGAATTGCAATGTTTGTGTTCAGTGTAATGAGAGCTTAAATGAAGACAGCCACTGTGGGGGGAAATATTAATTGAACTCAGAATTGATTCTTCCTATAAAGGAGCCTGGCAGCGTTCTGGGTTTCACACACCAACACAAACACACCTTCTAATGTTCAATATACATTTAGATGTATTTTAGCTCTGTGTTTGGTCTCTGTCACCTTCACCACCTTCATAATGACTTTTAACCCGTATGTGTGCGGGTCATAACTTTACTGTCCTGGTTAATTCTCACTGCTCTCATAACATTGTTATAGTGAACCATTTAGCCACTGAGGAAATATATTTCCCTCGGGAGTTTCAAGAGACATGGGAAGCACAACATATATGTTTTTAGCCGATATCGATAACTGACATTACCTGCTGCGTATGGCCAATACTGATTAGGGTACAATTGGCAAATATGAAGGATGGAAAAATTATGATTTATGACCCATAGCTTAGACCTCACCTAACCAAGGCTAACTGTTTTTAATCTTAACACAACACAAAACTTAAATGGCAAATTAAACTTGCCGTCTTCCTTTGAAACTGTGAAAGACATCCACACCATTGTGATGTTCTTCTTCTTTTGTGTTTTTATTGTCTTTGTATGTTGGCTGATAATTAACTGTCAGTAATTACATTAACACATTAGTACACAATAATAAACATTTCCCATTATCTGCCAATCATTTAGCAATCTGATATATTTAACTAATTCCTCACAGAGACTTATCTAAAAGAGAGTGAAAATCCATCCATCAGGTGGACAAACACTTTTCCACATGAATGAAATGATATTGGGACTCTGCGGGATGAACACAAATATGCAACTTTTCACAAACTAAGTTTAAACCATCAAGTTAATGGTGGAAGATATGCCCAAGATTTGTTCATAACATGTCTTCACTGTCCCAAGGTGAACAGAAAAGTCAGTTATTGGTGGTTTAAACACAAGAGAAAAATGCATATGAACTTACGTGTTCGTCCCATCCGTGCCGCTGCTGGTCCCTCTCCTTCAGGGTATACAGGAGTGATGGCAATTTTGTACTCTGTGTCTGACAGCAGAGGCTGCAAAACCAAGCTGGTCTGACCTGTGGGCACCGTCCTCTGGAAGCACAAAGAAATTCACGTTAAGTTAAAAAATAACATACATGTGTTCCGGCTGTGGTTCACGTTCAGCGGGTATTACTCCCAGCTCCTCCCGTCCACATGCCAAAGTGTCGTAGTGTCAAAACTCTAAATTGCTCCCGATGGTAATGACACTATATGCTACGTTATCTGATAACTACCCAGTTCTCTTTGTTTTGTTCATCAAAAGCGAAATATGGATCACATCACAGTGTCAAGTGGATATTTCATGATATAATAAGTAATTGGATGTTTGCTTTCTTTAAACTTTAGCTTCCACAGAGTTTGCCCTTTCCCAGCTAGCAAGCTAACCTGCTACTCAGCCGGGGGTGGGTGCTCGGCCTCCCTGCTCGGGTACAGCCTGCGGCGACAGGCAGCCAACACACAGGCCCTCAACTTGACCCTGGCTGGTTCTGCGACCTCTTGGTGAACTCCTTTCACCACGACGTTTAACAAACTCATGCTATGGACCGCTCTTTTCAGCGTTGCCCGTCTGTGTGTGGACGGGTGAATTCTTTCTAGTATATGTAAAGCAGTTTGAGGGGTCTCAAAGACTGAACAAGCACTATATTAATGTGGTCCATTTAACATTTAATTAATGTTAAATTTCAAACATTCTCGAGATCAAACGGCGCCAGGTGAAATGCTGAAATGTATGACTGTTCCCCACCCTGCAGGAGAAACACATTATCCCTTAAGGAAAAAGCATATGGAAAATAAATTATTTTGACAAAGATATGTTTTTTAACAGGGTGTTATAAGACAGGACTTGCAATGAACATATGGCCTAACGATCACAAAAACATACCTGTATATGTTTTTAATGTAACACTGAAAAGGTTATGGAAGATAATTGTTTTTGTCATGATATTACAATCTTTATTTTCTGTTTTAATTTGAAAAGCGTTTTCTCCCGCTGTGTTGTGTCTGTTTTAATTCTTGTCTTTGTGTGTTTTCCCGCCTGTTTTGAATGTCCTGGCCTTAGTAGTTCAAATTCTTCCCCTTTAGCCCTGCAACCACTTGGCCTTCTGTAAACCTGCATGTAATCCCCTCATTAGTTCTGCTTGTAGTCCTGTTCTTGTTTGTCGTACATCTTAAAGTGATGTGTTTTGCCATGACTTATCTGTCATTTCCACCCTGCTCTGGTTTCTGTGATATCCTCCTTATTAGACTTCCTTTGGGACGGATTCTTCAATGAACTAAAAAAAAGCAAATTAAGATTTTAAAAAGTGGCAAAAAATGTGTATTAGCCTTTTAATGGAGGTGAGGCGCTGCGAGCTGCTGAAATCAGGCTTTCAGGTTTTAGGAGCTGTAGAGGTTAATTGTATCCAGGTTTTCTCCTTACCTGTCTTTGAGCTTGGCCTTTTGTTAAACCTAATCCCTAAATGAGTCATCCTTCCAGGTGAAGGCATGCTGCAGACAAAACTTGCTTTTCACCCTTTAGCTTCTTCTGTTACTTTGTCTCTCAATATCTTCTCTCAATCTGCTGTTGTTAGTAACTCCTTGACTAATATCATTGTTGCCATGTATCTTTACAAAATCAGTACCATTCATATCAAACACCATGGTTAAACAATATGCCATGATGATATAGTCAGTTGAAGACTGTCATTTTCCGTGGTCTCAGATTTATTGTAATATAAACGAACCCTGATTAATCAATCGAAGACACTTTCAAACATTTCAGAATTCTGCATTTTGTAGTTTTTATCTTCAAGTCTTGGAATTCCGGAGAGTTTTTTAAGTACTGATTTTACCTCCAGATAAACACTGCTATGGTTGTTTGATCTATGTAGAATATATTGTTTGTGTTACAAGTTGACTTTTTGAGTGTGCATGTAGAAAACCTCAGTCGTTTCATTCCTCTGTTTCTCTCTTTGTCTCGGTCTGTATGTCTGGTAGCCCAGTTTGCATTCTGATCATGTACAGTCTAGCCCGGCTCCGTCCACAAACCATCAACTTCGCCCCCAAAAAATACGCTTTTTCAGACGTGCAGGCCTTGACAAATCAATTTCAGCCCAGCATGATGAAAAAGGCGGCAAGTCTCTAAACTTGCCACACAGTTGGGAGAAACCAGCCTAAAGCTAAACTCCTTCTACTCCACTTTGTAAATGCAAACATGGCTACATTAAGTATTTATAGGATTCAGAAACCCAATCTAGTTTTAACAAAGGCTATGTGCAGGCCCAGAATATTAAGTATGATCCATGTGAGACCTTGCCTGAGCTACAATGCTTGGAGGCAAACTGCATGGGGTACACAGGTGATGGGAGTCAATTTACGGTCACCAATGGAAATCTATATGACAATACATTTGCTAAACTGCACACAACTTTGCCTCAGCAAATCGGCCAAAATAAGGGATAAACAAGTTTAACAATAACTGTAACACATTTCAATAAAAACAGGATGAATCATAGCTCATGTGAAACAATTTCTACTTCAACTTAATCTATTACAAAGCCAAGAGGGTACACAGCATTCTGGGCCAATAGCTGCAATGAGTAGATGATAAGAATCCTACCCTGACTAAATACTAGAACAGACTCTGCTAACTCTACAGGGACCCCAAGGGGCTTCCCAGTGGGACTCCGTTCAGTACAAATATCTAGCCAGGTAGCCAGGTCCTAAGAGTGTCAACATACAAAATAACACCTCAAGACCTCTGTTGATTCAAAGATAGGGGCCCTAAGGTAACGACTAGAGTGGTGTAAAGTTGCTTTCACTTGACCAGGGGTAAAGCGGCTCTGTGCCGGCGTGTTTCTATGGAGAAAGTGGCGCAGCCTGCCTCTCTCTCTCTCTCTCTCTCTCTCTCTCTCTCTCGTCAGCCCGTCAGCCCGTCAGTATCTGTCTCATGCAGCTCACTGATCCAGTAATGAGTGACCCGACAGTAAAGAATAAACATATTTATAACTAGTTTTCCCGTCCGATTAGAGTTCACTCGCGTTTATGTCCATATCTATCAGATCTAGCTAGTTTTAGCTAATGATATGACGGCTAGTTATCAGTCAGGATCTTTAGATTGGTGAAACAGCAGGAACCATAAGAAGAGCCTGAATTAAATCCGGAAACAAACTGGTCACAAAATCGACTGTGAAGGGGTCAATGGACACAGAGCAGAAGTGTGGATGGTCCAACGTTTGGAAGAAAAACTGTAAACCAGGTGTTTGTTTTCCTTTCCACTTTCTATAAACTCTAAAAAGTTTTAATCCTCCCATGACAATGTTTTTGCCTTCGGGAACAACATGTTGGTGCAGGGCGATAATAGCCGAAATTCTGTTTACACACTGCCGAATTGCATTTCATGCCCTGCAGCTTAGGTTTATAGGACACTGAATGAAGCTGCTCAGGGAAATAACACTGAGTTCAAAATCACAGATGTGTGTGGACAGATGGCTGCAGAGTGGAGTCGCCTCACGGCAACGACTGGTATGATAGGGACAGAGCCATATGAATGGACATAACCATTCATTTCAATATTTATATGCATGTAAAGAGCTGAGCATCGAGGAATTCTCAACTTAGTGACAGACTTTAGTGCAATTAGTTAAGTGCCCTAAAGCTGCCGGTATCTTTTTTTAACCATTTGGGGGCAGCAGCAATCAAGATGACTTACAAAGATGATTATGTTTCAGAAATAACTAGCTTTTCACGTCCAGCAGGCGCAGAGCAACATCATTTCTTTGGAGTAGTGTTATACAGTATACTCGATATTCAACACAGTATGTTGGTCTCTACCAACTCCTGAGATACATGTGTACATACAACCTTTGTTAGTTAGCTGGTCTCTAACTGTGTCTGCCAGCTGTTTGCTGCTGAGCAGGTAATGTACAGTGGCTTTATAAGAAAACAAATTCAAAATAAATAAAATACTATAAAAAGCTGCGTAAATCCGAGATGTCAACTTTTCTTAGGGGTTTTCACTAAGAGAGACTCCTAACATTCATTTAAAAATAGTGATTAGTAAGACTTAAGATAATTCCAGGTGTGAAGATTATCTGGCACAAGGTAAAGATTCTGATACATCCTTTCTTTGAGTCCTGCTCAACAAAGTGTGTTTATAATATGTGCTGCATCCTTAAAACAGGCTTCTACGACAAAAACATAAACCAGTGAAAAGGACGTGTGCGTCATCGGGAGAAGTCACCAGCCAGCAAAGTGAGTTTTTAGGCAATAGGCAGTGATGGAAATTCAAACCAAATGACTGAGGTTTTCAGGTAAAAGTGATTTGAGAGTCTCACAAAACGATGTGGAGCTGCATGTCTAAGTGGATAATATCAGTGAACAGACGACGAAGCACAAACTACTGGGTAGACTTGGCAACGACAAAAACAATTTTCACTGTCCAGACTGCTCATTCAAAGGAAAAACATTTAACGGTAAAAAAAAGTGAAGCCAAAACCACCTAAAGATAAAGTTTTGGACTTTGTAAAACTTGAACCATCAAAACTTGTTGTCCTCAACATTTCTATCAGAGAAGAATACGTTTCCATCCCGCTCTTAAATAAGGCAAGAGACGAAAATTGAACACCATATTGGTCTGGTTTTAATATATATTCGATACCATTACTGCAATTAAGGTTTTGAAAACCTAGAATGTTGAAATGGTGAGAGTGCCAACATATGAGGTTACATTGTATCTAGATGTTGGATACTCACTCTTTTGCTTTGTCTATAGGGATCAAATAAGATGGTAGGAAGCCAAGAGAAGCAAGACTTTAGGCTGTGAGGCTGTGTTAAACACTTTTTATGCATGTTTTTAACGGCTCAACTGATCTAATCATGTTTGAAAGCACTTTCGATAAAATTGCTGCATAAAAACTGTGAATTAATTACAATATAATTTGTTCATAACTCCTGAGCCAACATTCCACCCGCAATTTCGTAAACGTTATTAACAGTTTGTGTCGAGACGAAAGTCATGTAATAATATCTGCGAAAAACGGACTGATAAAAAATGTATGTGTTTTCGTTTAGAG